AATCCTGTCGACCTGAGTTCAACATCGGAAACAACAACGGAAGTTCGTTCGGCAGTTCATTATGTGAATGAGTAAACAACAATTGTGGCGCTCTATTTTTAAAATCGACTGACATTCTTGGCCTTTAAAAATGACGCATAACTGATTCATCCGCCCACACACCTGCCCACGAGGCAGGTGCCAAAACCAACAACAACAGCTACATACATCATTTCGACTATGACGCTGGCCCTTTCTTTTGTTAATTTCGGCAATTGGCGCAAATTACGAAATGTATACATGTATGTATATATGCATGCCGATCTGCTTGATCTACCAATATCAAAGCCTATTATATGTACATATTGGCTATACCAAGAGCGCACACGAGTTGTTTAAGTGTTTATTTTATTGGCTGGTCTTGTAATAAAATGACCTAAAACACAAACACTCTTTAATCATCCATGCTAATCGACTAGTGTATTTTACCCACATATATCGGATATATGAAAACATTAAACTGATTTTAAGTACTCGCTAAGTATTTACATAATTTATCGGTTTGTTTTCTAAATTCGAAACTCATTAGAAAATATCAAAAGGAACGTGTAAATGGCGATTTTTATAACAAACAAATTCGCTTGCATTCTCCCAACAAAAATATATGCGAATTCTCGTTTTCCAAAAAATAAGAAGTAAAACGCCACCCAATTCGTCATCCTCCTATTTTCAGTTTTACTTTCAGCTTTCTAAAATTGTTCCGAAACGAATTTAAGGTCATTATTCGATGCGAACGATTTACATTAATAATAAATAACATTTCCTGCAAATCACAGAAAGTGTAATCACATGTTTGACAAACATTTATTGCAAATAAGCTAAGGAATATAATAATAGAATTCCTGAATAAAATTCACGATCATTAATTATAAAATAATAGACCAAACCGCTTAAATATGCTCTAAATTCGTGACTTTCGGAAGCAAAGCTGAATTGGTTCCATTAATGATAGCAGCGTCGTCAAAGTGGATATTACATCATTGAGAGTGGAATTTAAAAAAATTAAGTAAATAAAAATTGCTGAAATGTGGGTCAGAACAAATCAGACATCTAATAGAATTTGAACTCAAATAAACCACCCAAATATGAATTTTATTCATCTTTTTCGAAAACGCATCTGAATTTTGCGACATTCATATGAATATTCAATCATTTAAACAGCAATTGGAACAAGAAAGTAAGTATTATAAGAAATGTGGTTTAAAATTACTCGATAGTAGAATGTTAATCATTCAACGTACTTTTAAGTCATTATATTGAATTATGATAAAGAAGTACAATTTGGATTTCCTTTTTATAGAGAAAATAAACAGATCGTAATGGAATGGTTTTAATTGCTATTTTTTGGGAAGAAAATCTGAATTTATTATTATCATTAAAAGCGGAAGAGGAAATAGTCGACTAAAGGCTTATAAGGGAATTACAAATATTAATTCCTACTCCAGAGATTTATAGGAAAATATTTATCAAGTTTTCAAAATTAGACTTTTGATGTAGTTGGACTTCACTTTTTCGAATTATGGTTTGGAAAATAAACATAAAATCATAGCTTATTACCAAGGAATACAGAGAGTTTACTTGATCAAAACTAGAAATAAAATGTAAAATCACTTTTTAGAGAGGTATTCAGCAGTCAACGAAATATGATTTAATTTTTATGCCAGCACTAAGAGTAGAATGGATATTCGTGAGATTTATTGTAGTGAATTATAATTTCTAGATGTGCTTACAAAAATTACAATCAGACATCACTTCAGGCAAATCCTACATGTAGAGCAGCAATATGAGCAATTTGTGTGTATGTGTGTGTGGTCTATATAGTGTGTATGTGCGTGGAAATTGCAGTTGTTAGAATGGTGGCAACAGTGTCGTCTATTTTTAACTGTCAATATCGCTGTCGACGCCCACCTAAGCGACGTGTCAAAACCATAGCCTTGCACCAAATATTACACAATTTTTAGAATTATGTCTTTGTATTATATATATATATATATATATATATATATATATATATATATGTATATAGTATATAGTTTGTATCTGTAGCTGTGGCTGTGTCTGAGACATGGCCAGGTATGTAGTATCTATAGCTGTGTGCGTGAGTTTTTATCCATGAGATAGATGTTGCAGTTTGGGGGGAAGATTGTCGACAAAAACATTCGATTCGCATGATTAACTTAATGCTTTCTATATATCTATGTTTATATATTTAAATACATAGATGTACGGTATAGTTCGCGTTCGAATGGCGAGCTTGTTGACAACCATAAGGCTGGCTATTATGCATAAAGATAATGGGAACCAACCCTCAGGCGGGTTGCACACCCATTTGAAGAGCGAATAGCTGCGTAATCTGAAATATTTCTACTACTACCGATAATGTTCGCCTTGTCGTTGTCGTTGTTGTTGTCTGCCATTGACATTGCGGAACAGAGCTGTATTTGGCTGATTGGTTTGTTTATCGCTGACGTTTGGGAAGCTGTTGGTTACACGATTGATGCCAATTTGTGGGCATGTCTAGCTTCTACCCGTACACCCCCTCCACCACCACCACATCCATAAAGGTATCTATATCGATAATTGTCTATAGTATGTCTGGGTCGTAGCATAATTGAATTGCCGTTCTTGTCTTGAGCCTTGAGCTGATAACGGAAGGTGGGTTATGAAACCTGTGGCAACGTGCGGAGCTCAGAAGCAGAGAGAAGTTTATTTACTTCTAGATCTGTGACATTGGTAGCGCTGATATACACATGTCTTTTCACTCATTGCATTGTCGTTTTATTTTAGAGTTTCCACTCTCCCTCCCCCTCCATCCTCCTACTTTTGGCAACAAGTTGTCGAGCTCGAGGTGTGCTGGATTCGACACTCAGAGAAAAGTATGAGCATTTCATTGCAATTCAAACATTCTCTATTCACAAGAGTGCTCTCGAAATAAGTTATTTCGATTTAGTATGATTCCTAGTTTCCACGATATTCCAAATTGGTTTTCAAATATTTAAGTGCAAGTACTTTAAAAGCATTTAATTTTTTTTAATATTTTGAAAGTTTCAAAGTTCTCTCTTAATGTATTTTAAAACTATTCATTTCTGGGCCATTATTCCTTTTGAAAAGTATTCGAATTATATTTAAAACTCTTTCTGCTTTATTAAATATTTAACTGAAGGTATTTTAGAAGTATTTAAAGTTCTCAAGTAAACGTATTTAACTATTTCGAGTTCTTACTCCAATATTTTTTTAATTTTAAAGTTCTAGCTTGTGTTATTATTTAGGAATTTAATGTCCGCATTCGAAATATTTTAAGGGTTCCTGCCAGTCGCCTATATTATCAGAACCTATGTCTTTGATATTCCATTGTTTAACTGCATTTGTTGCTTTGCTGGCGGGGTAAATTTGAATTCGGTCTATGAAAGACAATATCAACATTTACATGAACGTAGATCTGAATCCAAATCACTCTAATACTCTACATGTTGTGAGTTGTTCATTTCTTGGATTATTGTTCGGATTTTCAATAGACATCTAAATATTCTAGATCTAGAATTTTAATTACAACTTTATCCACGAAATGTTTACATAAACAAACGGCATAAGTCTTAACTTCCCTTATACTCAACATTCAGGATTTTGCGTTTCGGGGTCATCATTTTTAAACAAATTCGTGATTGATTTACATAATTTCTTCCATAAAGAACTCTGTTTTTGGAAGCTGTATGACATATTTTAACTATATGTTGAACTTTAATTTTAATTCCACCTTTTTCAGAAAATTTGTATCCATTTGCTTAGGTAAAATGTAAATGTAGCTTCTCTGACAGAACGCTATTATTCTGACCAATTTCTTTGAGTGTATTACCAATTTTTATATAAAGTTTTATGCATTGAATTTCTGAAAACTTTCTTTGAGGGTATTAACAATTTGAAAATTAAGCTTAAGATTTTTCTATTGTAGAATATCAGTTTAGAGATTTGATTGAGATTTTGAAAATGTGATTTATTGAAGAATTTACAATTCAAATTCTAATACCTGTTTCCCTGAGTGTAGCAAATCAAATGCTGATTCTTAAAGAATTTCAATAACCTTTCACTATTGTGCTACGGCATATAAACAGAATATTACAGCTGTTTTCTGCCAGTGTAGGGCAGCCCCACTCTTTACGCTTTTTCCGCATATATGGGTTGGGGCTGAGCTCATTTTGGCTCGCTTGCAAATTTAAAGCGCTGATTTCAATGCTACAAACAGACAGATACAGATATATACACACATATATGCATATATGAACTATATATATATATATTATATATATAGACAGACAGACTGACAGACATATGTAAATATGTTTGCGTTATGGCTTTGAGCTGAAGATATTCAAATATTGGGCGCGATTGTATTGACATTGAAGGGACTGGATTGTGTGCGGGCTATTGCGGTATTGCGTGGGGGTTGTGGGAGGGAGGGAGAGGGTAGCGGGGTTTAGTCGCTTGCTGTACAGATTTCACATTTCATTTTCATGCAACATATTTCAAACATTTATTTTTTTCAGCCAAGAACCATGAAAAGAATCTATTTTTAAACAGTGCTGAGCTTTTGCTGTTCGTACAAATATTGAAACATAATCGAAAAAATATAGAACTCAGACAGACACACGCACACACACTCATACACACACACACACACACACACACACACACACACACACACACACACACATGCAGATAGGCATACATATATGCACATGTATGGGTGGGCTATATGTGAAAACGTATAGATGGATCAGACAGACCGTACGAGTACTATGTATAGTATATACGTAAACTTAAGGAGTATTTGGGGCAACAGGGCACACGAATTTAAATTGGAATTTGAATTCGAATTCGAATCGAAATCGGATCAACAGGTTTGCGTCTTCAAAATGTTGTTCTTATTGTTATACTAGTACTTGTATTGATGGGAGGAGACTTACCTTCTTCTGTTGCTTCTCCCACGCGGGGTCGAGCAGTCCCTCGCGCTCCCATTCCTCTTCCTGCTCCATGTATCCATCTCCATACTCCATGGAGAGACCGTTCTCCATCATCATTTTGTGGCTGTTGTTGTTAGCTGTTATTCACTTTTCACTTTCGATGCAAGATGCGGGCGGACTGTTGCGAATGCGAATGCGGATGTGGAAGTGTCTATTGATCGGCCACAGAACGTTCGGTAGCAGCTGCTCTTTTTATATTTTTATTTTTTTTATTTTTTTTGTTCGTCGTTTATTCGATCGTTGTAGTTGTAATTTTATTTACGAGATTTAGTTTGCAATGTGGTTTGGTTGTGGTGGTCGTAGTGGTAGTTGGTTGGTTTGGAGTTTGTTGTGGTTTGGAGTTTAGGATGTCATGAAAGAGCGAGCATTAAATTTGATGCTTTTCAGTGGGATAAGTTACAGATAATATATATATGTATATATATATATGTTATATATATAGATGTATATGTATGTATATGTGTGCGTGTGTTTTATTTTTGTTTGAAACTGTTTTTGAATTTATTGAAAAAAAAAAGAGTTTCTTTCGTTCGCAGTATGTCCTTATTATTTAATCTGCAATATTCAAAAGAGAAATTGATTTTGAATTGGAAAACAAAGAAGAAGAAAATGGAGAACTAATTTCAGACTATTCCAACGATGGAATAGTTGGACAGAAGTTGCACAAATTTAAAGGAGTATAGTGAATGGAGCCATACGCGATATTCTATATATATATATGTATGTATATGTATGTGTATATATGTTTGTATGTATTTGTGGGTAGGTGTATGAGATAACGGTCTTTCGAGTTTTCGGGGGCAACAACAATAACAACAGTTCCAAACGTTGCTTCACTTGCTTTTCAGTTTTTTTGTAATTCGAAAAAAAATTTTTAAAAAAACAAGAAAAAATTAGCAATGAAAAATGATTTAAATAAAACCGTTGTATAACACGTTAATTTTCTGCTTAATTATTTTCGGTTTTTCCTTCTCGCTTTTCGGCGCTGCTGCTGCTTGGTGGTGCTTGCTTTTCGTTTCGTTTCATTCCGTTTAAAAATAGTATGTTTTTCAAATTTTATTTTCGGCGTCAACGTCAACGCATGTAGTACATATTTGAAATAATTTTGAAAATGCCTGTTCCGAAGGCGCAAACTTATTTATGTCTGTGTGTGTGCGTGTGTGTGTGGTGTTATGTCCGTGTGTGTGTGTCAGTATGTGCTTTGATATATATATATATACATATATATATTTAACTGTATATATAACACATATATGCGGTCGGTTGCTGTCATTGCCGTTTCAAATATACATTGTATATAGATATATACACATATATTATATGTATATATCGACATATATATTTATCTAAATATACGTATATATCGTCGTCTATATATATGTATGCATGAACGTATTATGTGTGTGTGTGGCGCGTTCAAAAAGCTTATTTTATATATACATATATAGCTGTATATATATATTTATTTTTTAACGAGAAAAAAAATATTAGAAAAAAAAAGAATCAACAACAGTTTTGAAAAAAAACAACAACAACAACAATAAAAATATACAAATGAATATCTACGTATGTCGCTTGCAAAGAGAAAGACCCGCTCGCGTTGATAGCCAACTCAAAACTGATGTCGCGACAGCTAAAACTGAATATCGTACATGCGACCCAGAAGTGGCAGCTGAAGAAAACTGTGCAGCAGCAGCAGCAGCAGCAGTGGCAGCAGCAGCAGCACAAACACAGTTACAATCAAAGAGGCGGGCAGCTGCACGAAGATCGGAAAGCACGAGCGCAAGCTTCACACAACACACACACACAGAGTACACAGGGAGAGAGATAGAGAGAGAGAGAGAGAGACAGACAGGCAGACAGAGAGACGGATGGGACATCCAGACAGCGGACAGACAAAGTAGCAAACAAGTAAACACACACACACACACACACACATACACATTCCGTTTGGGCACACTCTGTGGGAGTGGGTGGCAGAAGAAAGTATGAATTCGGCCAAAAACAATTGGTATGTGCACGCCACACACAGACAGACACGCACAGAGCTCAGAGCTCGGAGAGACAACAGCGCAGACAGCGACGCCGATGCTTACGCTGCCGTCGAGATGAGACCAGACCAAGTGTTTGCATATTGTGTGTGTGTGTGTTTATGTGCATGTGTGTGTGTGTGCGTGTGTGTATGCCACATACACTGGATGCTGAAGTTGCCGGCCAGAAAACGCAAGTGATTTCAAATTCAATAATAATAATAACAACAACAACTACAACAACAGCAGCAGTAGCTACCACAACACTCTAGTAAGCTTAGCTACAATTATTTCAATTAATATTTGAGCAAATCTTAGTCCAAAATACCATATTCAAGGCCAAGTCCGATACCAACAGTTGGTCTGACATACTATATGCTTAAGTCTTGAACTTGTTGTTGTTGTTGTTGTTCTTGTTCTTCATGTTGTTGTTGTTGTTGGAATAGGCAATGTCATTTGGTCACTTTGTCAGTCTGTCAGTCAGAACGACCAGCGGACCCCATCACCCCCGCATATCTATAAATATAACAAATTGTTAATTTCGCTACGAATACTCTTTTCCAATGCACACACACGCAACACACACACACACACACACACACACTTACAAACACACGCACATGAAACACATGATTTTATTGGCATGCTTTCTGGTTTGCCTGCCCGTGCCCAATATTTCTTATCTAAATACTTCTGTGAACGTCTGTTTTATAGGCTATAGGGAATTGGGTACTGTGCATACTCTGAAATCGAAAACATCTTTTCAAAATTCTGAGCATACAACTGCTTCTGGTAGTCGCCTATGGGGAAATCTTCAATCTCCGCTAGATAGGTATAATCGGCGGATCAATGGCTAAATAGCCATATATGGCGAACTAGAAGGTTATTGTTTCTAATCTCCATTCCACCGAACTACCCAATTGAATACACCTAATTCCGTTTTTACATGGTAGATCGTGTTAAAAAAGGACGGGGTAAAAACAGAATTAGGTGTATATGTATACCTATCTCATATGGGGAACTTTAGGTCCCTGACACCATATATTAATTGCCACCTATAGGACTGCTCTTATCAATGACCCTACATTTATAAAATTCGCGCATATCTCCAAAATATAGACAACTAAAAATTTATAGTTCCTCGTCTTCATTTTTTCCGAACTACCTAGCGAGTGTCCATCTAATTTGACCATAACTACAAGTATAACTATCTTTAATTGAATTCAAAAATTGTCCCCCACATTAAACAAAGACTTTTCCTTTTGAAATTCGCGAATTTAACCAAAATAATAATAATAATTCCGCTTCTACTTCGTAAATGTTCCCTCACACCATTCCATGATTGTCCCCTATAGGACTATACATATACTGAGCAAAGTTCAATCTTTTTTGACTTTCGCGAATTTGTTCACACAATTCATCAGAGTAATTCTCAGGCTTACATACGTCACTAACTGTAGAATTCTATAAAATACACTCGGATCGCAAGCTTCATTCGTCATACATAAGTATAATGTTGCCTGGTATTACTGTTTTCCATAAGGAGATAATCAACGATTTGGCTATATTTATGCCTTAATGTCTTCACCACTTCACAATTGACCATGCCTTGCGCAATTCCTTTCGGTTTAGATGTTTCCATTATAATCTCTCACGCACATTATACTTAAAAACAAATTTTTAAGATGGCACTTCTAATTGTCTTTAAAATTTTTTTTTTAAACTGGGACTCCAAACCGGAAGAAAATTATATTGTAGATTGGCTTTAGCTATGCCTTAACGTTATTACCACTACACAGTCGCATATCTGATGAAGCACGGCTGCCGGGGCATGAACTGCCGAACGAGCAAATTAAATGTCTCAAATGGATATAATAAATTCAGATTCTATAATGTCCTATTATTTATTGTTGGATGGTGGTAGGTATTCCTATAACATTATAATAAAAGATAATCCATCTCGTCATGTGGATTGCAACTTCGTATGAATGTTCCCGAAAAATATGTGTCATCTATTTGGGTAGAAAACGGGTGCGTCATTAAATCCCTAAATTGTATATAATCGTATCCCCAATATCCCGGTATGTATATACCATTCATATTATATATGTATATTAGTAGAGTAAATATATAAAATATAGTTTTCTGCTACAAGAAAAAAACGAATATTTTAAAGTTCTTGCTATATAAAGAATTGTGCAGGAATAGGTTCAGATGAAATGTTCACCGAAAACTTTTTCATGATGAATTTCTCAGTTAATTAAAAAATTCTTGTAGTATGTGCCATTAATAATGATACATGGCTATATTGGCAATAACCAATACTCCAGTATTTATTTTAGGAAAACAAGTATGTATATACTTTCCTCCTTTCTGGAACTATTTTCACACTTTAAAGCACCGATTAAAGGACAATCTGATGCTTCAGATTTGTTTGCTTTTCACGGGGGAAAAAAAGAAAAAATAAACATTAAAAAAATGCAATTTCAGAAATGCATTATTTATAATAAAAAGGATTTCCCGAAGACTATAATGGATTCGTGCTCCTGAAGGCTATCTGACGCTGTCATCTGATGGTAAGGATGTTTCGTGTCTAGGTCCATAACCAGAGCGTAGGATTGCCTTCAATATTAGAAAATAAATTTAACTAAGACAATATTAGGTTTATAAATGGATTCCTTCCACTCAAAAGCATCTGCAGCTATCATCTAATGTTGACATGGTGCTGTTTCGGGTTTTTCGTATACACCCCTTACTAATTTCTATAAAATAAATTTGCCGAAGACAATATTATCTCTATAAATAGATTGCGGCCCTTCCGGGCTATATGACAAAAAAAGAGGGTTTTTTGTACGCATGGCCAATTCGGGAGCAATGTGTAGGGTATTTGGTAGTTGACATCACTGCCAACATCCTAGATACATATGCATATATGCTCATACATATGTACACTATGTATGCAAATGTGAGTGTTGTGTATGTTTTAATGTACGTAGAGAAATAATTTATTTTTGGCCCATAATGTGCGTCGTCAGCGGCATTTCTGTTCTTTTTTCGAAAACAAATTCTATTATTAGTTAAGTTTGTGCGTTAATACCATATTTTTTAAATATGTATTTAGATACAAAATCATAAATTTAATAAAATTGAAAAACTAAAAGAAAAAACAACTACAAACCTCTTCCGAATACATAATCGCTCAAATTATGTGCAGATGTGAGAAAACTTTTCCGCGATCGATTCAAAAGTGCTGACCCCTCGGTTAATTCTACCTACACAGCAGAGTTACATACTTTACTTACAACTAAAGTGACTATCATCCGAACTTATACCGATTTCGGTTAATTCTATAGAAACAATTCTGCAACAGGTTGCAGCGCACACAATGTTTAAAAATCGTTCAGTTAAACAGACACACTATTCCCCTAAGGTGCGCCCAAATGAGAAAATAGAACACACTTAACAAAGCAAGCTAGTCCAATAATTCAAAAAGCGGGTTTAAGGCAAAAACTATGTAAGGTTGGTGGTCGAAATTATAGGGGGGCGAGCTAAAGAGTCGATAATTGGCGCACGCAACGGAGAAAATTGGAAGAAAATCAAAAATAATATACGTGTATTTCTCGAAAATGTCTTTTATAAATAGTTTAAAAATGAAATTGATTTATAATATAATTGGCTTTGAATGAACATTTAGGTTTGGAAAAAGGCGCTTTGAAGTGAAATTGTGAAATGTAATGAGCAGCAGGGTCGCCCCAAAAATATCAAACCAATTTGTTAAAATGTTTTAATAACACACAAGAGTGGGTTTGCCAATAGATAAGTGGGTAGATCTTGCCTTCTGCTGATCAAAAACGTATTGCCTTCAATCCCTTAACTTCCCAAGTCCCTAAAATCATGCGCTTACAAACAATTGGAATAAACCAGCACGTTAATATATAACTATAGAGACTAAAAAGTAATTGAAATGATTTTATAAAATCAGGCGGCCGAGTTATTAAAATTTGCGGTTTAATATTTGCTTGAGATGTTTATTCACAAATATTATACTCGTACCAAATTGTAAGGAATCTCTTCTTATCATCTTAAATGCAAGAAAAATCTGCAAGAATAATTGTTTAAATAACAAATTTTGATGACATTTTTCTCATCCTTTTTAATGTAGAGGGGAACTTCCCAAAAAAGTAAGAAGTACTTTCCTATCATCTTTAATGACGAAATAGGCTTCACGAGGATTTATTGCAATAATTTAAATAAATCATTTTAAATAATTCTTTCTTATCATCTTTAATGATGACATACGTTTCAGGAAGACTTATTGCAATAAAATAAATAAATCGTTTTAAAGCATCTTTCTTAACATCGTAAATGTAGGGATAAACTTTAGAAAGTATTCGCACTTACGAATTCTTATCATCTTAGTAAGACAAATGTTTAAGAAGATATTATGGACTAAATTAAAGAATTCGTGAATAATCGTCCATAAATCCCAAATGTAAAGACAAAGAGAGAGATAAACTCTAGAATTTGTCCCTAACATTCCAAATGGAGAGATAAACTTCAGAAAGAATTTATAAAATAACAAATGTAACGGAATTTTGTCTTACCATCTTTAATATAGAAACAGACTTCAAGAAGAATTTATAAAATAAATTACAAATTAAATCATTTACGAAGTTCTTCCCTATCATCTTAAATCCAACCTGAGAATGAAGTTAAGAATTCAGACACTTTAAGTAATATTTTTTATTCTTCATGCTGAGGCAATCTTAAGGAAGAAACTATGAACTAAATTTTATTGAAGATTGTGAGGAATTCGTCTCTATCATTCTAAATGTGGAGACAAACAAGCATTATAAAAAACTTCATGAAATAAATATTCTTAAAGGATTTTTCCTTACAATCTTAAGTGTGAAGACCCTCTTAATTAAATGTTGAAGAAATAAACTCAATAACCTCAACGTTCCCTATCATCTTAAATATAGAGACAAACTTCAGGAAGATTTTGTAAAATAAATTTAATAAATAAGCTCTTTCCTACCAGCTTTACTGTACAGGTCATCTTCAGAGATATTTTATGAGCTCTACAATGAATTCTAGTTTTCAGCTTTTTCTGATTCTTCTTTTTGGATTATATAGATATCAAATTAAACCGCGGACTACGTAGTTCTACTCGTTCATTTCAGTGCAAATAATCCCATCTTGTTTGTTGTACAGAGGGATTGCTTTAACCTCTAAGGCTCTCAGTTGCCCACCAAAAACAATGGTTTTAACCACTTTCACAATATTTCATTGAGCTCCTAACAAAAAAATTAGCATAGCTCTTGCAAATATATACTATTTACTAGTCAAATTTAATTAACAAAGATGCAACAACAGATGCCGTTTATAGTCAATTTTGTTATAAATACATTGCTTTTCCCAATTAAAAAAGAGGTGGAATTGGTTGAATTGCCTTTAACAATCTAAATTTTGATGTACAGCGATATAGGGTCTTTGGAAGTCGAAGCGGGATATTAAAAGTAAGACTAAAAAATTTAACAACAACAACAATAACGAAATTTTGTATAAAAAAAAAGGAATTACTGATATGATAGATTAGCGCGAATATTAAAGATAAATCCGTAGTTATTGTTTCACAATTATTTTAATATTATTCTGCATGTATTTTATAACTTTTGGGGCACAACTATTTTTTAAAAATTAGTTACAATTGTTTTATATACATATACATACATATATGTATGTATGAGTGTATGCACATAATTCTATTTGTTTGTTGTTTTTTATATATATATTTTTTTCGTTTACATGGCAATAAACGTTGATAAATCTTAAGGAAAACATTTTCTAACGCTCGAGCGCAAAAAAAAAAGATTAATGATAATTATACAAACAAGCAAAGACATTTGGTTTGTATGTAAATTATTCGTTTAAAAAGGAAACGGAGAAATGCAAAAAACTCAATCACAATGAAACAATCAGACAGGCTGCCACACGATCTCTATGTTTTAGCTCATTCGGGTTTTAGCGATAATGCCGCCGGGGGCTGTGACTCCAATTGTTCGATGAATAGTTCCTCGAGCGGTCGCTCGCTTATGATGCGGAAGAAGAAGAGGTGGTCCAGACACTTGAGACTAATGGAGCGGAGAGCGGGCAAGCGTAGCAATAGTTGAGCAAAGCGTCCATCATCGCCAGGATGCTCGAGGCGGCAGTGTTCGTCCAGGCAGGCATAAACCTTTTCGCGGCATTGTTCGATGTCGGCGCGATTCGTAATGCCGCGTATGTCTGGATTATAAAGTATGATCGCCTTCAGACAAGATAGCTCGCGACGGTCGAGATTCAGGCGCTTCATCTTCACACTCAGCTCCGACAATATGCGATCAAAGATCGTGGAGACACCCGCCTTGATCGCGCTGTTGCGATGGTATGAGAAACTCTGATTTAAAAACAGTTGTTGCGGCTGCAGCACCGGCGAGCGACGCTCGAAAGCACTGTCGTGCCCCAGGCCGGACATGGTATCGTCCAGCGACACGGTGCTACACCACGCCACATTCGCAATGAGCAGCTCGTTCCAAGCGGCCTTTAGCAGTATCACCTGATCATCGAGCGGTAACTGTGGGAAATGTGGCATCAGGCGAGCGTATTCAACCATCTGGTAGAGCTGTTTGTTAACGACCTGGCAGAGGGCCGATACGGCTCCTTTGTAATCCGGCTGCACTGTTGAATTGGGGCCAACGCGTAGAAAGGCCAATGCTCTGTCGCCACTATGTGTTTCAGCGCGCTGCTCGGCCTCGAGCAGGCGATCAATGGTAAAGTCGCGGGACACGTTGTTGGGCAGGAAGTCGTCTGCACCGCTATTGCCGCCTCCGCCTCCAATACCACCGCCGCCGCCTACAGATCCTGCGTTGCCACCACCACCGAGTCGGCCAGTCGATGTACGTGCGCCGCGTTGGCGCTCCTCCTGTACTGCCTCACGCTTCATGCCACAAGAGAGGCATTTCTGGTAGCGGCAGTATTGGCAGCGATTCCGCTGACGTTTATCGATGATACAGTTTCGATTCTCGCGGCAAGCGTAGGTGAGATCTTTGCGCACGGTTCTTTTGAAGAAACCCTTACAGCCCTCGCAGCTGTACACGCCATAGTGCTTGCCACTGGCACGGTCGCCACAGATTGAACAAAGATGTTTGGATCCGCTCAGCGGGTGATTTGGCGGATACTGTTGTGCGGCAGGCGCCTGCGCCAATTGGTTCTGGTTGTTTGCTGACCCCATAGTGGTCATGCTCATGGTCTGCAAAAAAGGTCCTGGGCTATCGGCCTTGGGTGAAAAGCTGCTGTTATTGCTATCATTTAACTGCGAAATATCAGGTTTGACCTCTTCTTTTATGGCTCCCAGCCGAAATCCAGCGTCTTGGTCGCCGTTATCCATTCCCTCGCTGTATTGTATAAATTTCGCTTCGAGAGTTGGCTAGCAGGTGCTAGATGCTGGGTGCCGACTTTCCCCCCTTGGCGGTTTCACTTTGTCGCAACACCAACACAAACGTCCGTCACCGTGTGTTGATTTGTTGTGCGCTCCAAATGGCTTACAAGGGTAGAAAGTACTAACAGAGTACACCATTTACATAACTCTGCTTAGTGTTGGCCTTTTTTGGCTTGTTATTCTTATTGTTTCTTTTTGCCAGAAAACAACAATGTCTGACTTTCTGACTAATGATTAAAAACTTTTCGCGTCGACGTTTTTTCTCAACAAAGGCAAGTTCACCACAATGCCAATTCACCAATAGCAGTGTTGTCCAACTGTTGCAAAACCTATCGGCCGACTAGTTTGCAATTGGCAACTCAACAATAATAAATAAATTGGCAACAAGTGTATGGTAAAAAGATTTGTTTAAAAACATACACATTATTATTGAATGCTAAATTAGCATTGCATCGAAATAAATCCTCTACATTCGGTATAGATACGACAATACTGGCGACTTCTCACCACGTCCAACGAAGCAACTCTGTTGCTGTCGCAATATAATAATTGTTGTACTGCTTGCATATGTATGTACATACAAGCACTCATACATTTGCCTGCAATATATGTGCATGCATATGCATGTGTATGTGAATGTACATACAGATGTATGTACTTACTAAACAAACGCTGCGTCTGCGAGGTCGAGCCGCTTTTGCATGCGAAAACAGATGCACACACACACACACGCACACAAACAAAGAAACGGACCTTACAATTAATATAATATAAATGTATGTATGTATGATATATATTGATGATATAAAAATGCACAATAAAACAAACAACAAACAATTTATGGAAAGTAAACAATTCCTATCCGGCCATAAATTACTATCAATGGCAACACGGCAAAATACAAATTATTGTTTGTACGCAGCAATTGCGAAACATTTGATAAATTAGTTAAATTAAATCACGTACTATAGATTTAAATACATACATTCATATGTACATACGCACTTTTAAGATTTACTGCAGATCAATGATTCCGGCTGTTTATCAATTTTCGCACACACACACAAACACAGAAAGTTGCTTGGTAAATGCAATTTTTAATAATAGGATTGTTGATATTATATCGATAAGTCGATATTTGCGATATTTTTACTTGGGGTGCGCAAATATCGGAGTATTTGCATTAATCACCATTAATTTTTATCAAAAGGCGATATTTTATATAAATAAATAATAACTAATCAAGAATTTTTATTTTCAGGCAGTTTTTGGTTACAGACTTCAGTTCTTGGTTTTAGTAGTCAGCTGAGCTCTAGCCTGTTAGTCTGGCTCACCGTTTTAAACCTAGTGCTGTCATAACATATGCATTTGTGTAGAGATGGCATTCATACATAAGGCAATAGCAGCTGGTTGTTTTAATAAAAATGGTCATTTAAAAAATTATCATCTGTTTAACCCAAAATAAAAGGTTCTGAGCGAAATAAGTACTAACACTTATACATAAAAGGGGGTAAATGAAAAAATCTGAAGTAAAATGAAGGCGCCAAATTTAAAAACCCGCAATCTGAGATAGTACAGGGTGCGTCATCTTTTATGTCGGTATACAAACATTGAATATCCTTGAAAATAAAGAACCGATTTTCAAGTATGAGATATTTTTATTTAATTTGGTTCTGTACAATTTCTGGTCTACTCAAGTCAATCGGTTCACTATTGACAAAGTTATTCAATATCTACATACCGACATAAAAGATGGCGCACCCTGTAGTCTTCGAAAAGTAGTCTGCATCGATTACTAATTTTGGCTTATCGACAAAATTATCGTAGAATATCCTCGTATATATTTTGAAAAAAAAAACTGTTTTATTAAGTTTATTTGCTGTATCGATATTATGTTAATTACGAATTATTATTCACGTTAGTTTCCATAGTTCTTAAAATAAATGTTCTATTCACATTTTTAAAATATCTTAACCAAAATATCTTATTGATGAAATCGATCTATAACTTGCAACCTATCGGAAGTATTAATATGTTCTCGGAATGAGATTCACCACGAATATTGGTGGATTGCGATAATCTATGTATGTATGCATGTATATATTTGGTATAGGCATGCTCACACTACAATCTATATAATCTGCAATTTAAGTGCTTTTATTCGTAATTCATAATAACAATTAAATTGCATACGCTGTGGAGGAATTATGGAACGAAGTGAAAGGCAGAGGATGGCAAAGCCCGAAGTAGAACCTACGCAAATAATCCCGGAGGAATATTTGGAGTGCCTGCGCAAAAATTTTGGGCTCGAAACATTTCGTCCGCTACAGTGGGAAGTCATTCGCTCTATTTTAGTGGAGCAGCGCGATGTTTGTGCCATTATGGCGACTGGCTATGGCAAGTCCCTTACCTATCAATTTCCAGCTGTCTACCTCGATAAGGTGGTGCTCGTTATATCGCCGTTGATTGCCTTAATGGAGGATCAAGTTCAGGGACTGAATTCTAAGCACGAGCGTGCCTGTTTATTGGGCACCGCACAGGAGGATCCAGGGATAAAGGTGCGCATAATGGCAATGGAATTCAGAATAATATACGCCACACCAGAGTATCTAACAACTGGTAACGGCCAGAAGCTGCTATACGATTTGGGCGACAACCTAGCCCTGATCGCCATAGATGAGGCGCACTGCATCTCCCGATGGGGCCATGAATTTCGACCCGCCTTTCGAGAGCTGTCTGAGTTGCGATCCACTGTGCCCCATGTTCAAATTTTAGCTCTCACCGCAACGGCGACTCACCAAGTGCGTCGGGATATTTGCGAGCAACTGAGTATGCGCAACCCTCGGCTGCTGACCAGCGGCATTGATCGCCCCAATTTGGATTTGAGTGTGCGCCTGAAAAGCACGGCTAAGGGCACATCAGCGATTTGGTTGCAATTGCAACCCTATCTGAATTGGGCTGTCACCCAAGGTGGATCCACTATTATTTATAGCAATACCATACGGATGGTCGAGGATATAAGCAAAGTGTTGATGGCAAATGGCGTATTCTGTCCCTGTTATCATAGCAATCTTCCGATGGAAATACGTCGCCAAAATCAGCAGGATTTCACCAGCAACAAAAAAAGTGTTATTGCTGCCACCACCGCCTTTGGCATGGGCCTGGATAAACAAGATGTGTGCCTGATTGTCCACTATGGGGCACCCAGCGATATTGAGCGCTACTACCAGGAAATTGGGCGTGCTGGACGCGACGGCCGGCAGGCCAAATGTGTGCTCTTCTACAGTGACTCTGATGCTATGTTACACAGGAAGCTGCAGGACATCAATCACCTGACACCTGCACGCGGTCAAACCTTGCAAATGTTTGCTAAACAAATGGTAGAATATACACGAACAACCGAATGCCGTCGTCGTTTCATACTCGGCTATTTTGACGATCAGACAGCGTTGGCAGAGCTACAGCCGCGGCGCACTTGTTGCGACAATTGTCGAAAGCGGAATCATAGCATCAACTACCAGCGGTTCTACAAGGGTCTCAACGCAAACGGAGACCTCGATGTTACCGCGGATGCACTCTACATAATGACCATGATGCGTGATGGAAATGGTCGTATCGGTTTGACCAAACTAAGCAGAGCACTGCGTGGATCCCGCGACAAGACTTTACCGGATGTCTGCAGGCTGCATAGATATTTTGGTCGTTGCAGCGACAAGCCGGAGGCGTGGTTTAAAGTGTTAGCTGAACATCTGGAGAGCAAAGGCTACATACAATACGATTGGAAACAGAGTAGGGTCGCAAATTTCACATACATTATGCCCCATGTCTCACTCAAGGGTTGCTGTTGGCTCGATAATGACAATGACCAGCGAGAAGCCATTGTCATTGAGCCCTATCCTGGGCTGGTCAAATACCTAGTACCGATTAACAGCGACAACACGAGCAGCTCTCCTAAAAAGGTTGTCAAAGCTACTCGAAAGACTGTGATGACCAAACCGCCTGGGATCAGTGAAAAACAGTGGATACCTGTGGAAAAAGAAATATTAGAAATTATCGAGAAGAATAGATTAGTGAGTTCTATAAATAGCAATCATGCATTCCCTAAACTTTATCAGACAAATCAACCGACAAATGGCAGCTCAACAAAGCAGACATCCTTAGAGTCCAGCAGGTGTGAAGCATCTAATTTAATGCCCATAAAGAAGGTAGAAATTGAAGAAGAGCATGAGGAAATTATGCCCTCACCTTCTAAACTAAGTCAGACAAATCAACACACAACTGACGGATCAATAAAGCATATATCCTTAGAGCCCGGCAAGGATACAGAATATAATCTGATATCTTTAGTGAAGGTGGAACTTGAAGAAAAGAACAATGAAATGAAGCTCTCTGCCCCTCCACCAAATCGAATAAGTCATTTAACAAAGCAGACATCCTTAGAGCCCAGCAGGTGTGAAGCATCTAAGGTAGAAATTGAAGAAGAGCATGAGGAAATTATGCCCTCACCGTCTAAACTAAGTCGGACAAATCAACACACAACTGACGGATCAATAAAGCATATATCCTTAGAGCCCGGCAAGGATACAGAATATAATCTGATATCTTTAGTGAAGGTGGAACTTGAAGAAAAGAACAATGAAATGAAGCTCTCTGCCCCTCCACCAAATCGAATAAGTCATTTAACAAAGCAGACATCCTTAGAGCCCAGCAGGTGTGAAGCATCTAAGGTAGAAATTGAAGAAGAGCATGAGGAAATTATGCCCTCACCGTCTAAACTAAGTCAGACAAATCAACACACAACTGGCGGATCACAAAAGCAGATGTCATTGGAACCCCACGGAAATGACGAATCTAATGTGATATCTTTAGTGGACGTGGGCATTAACGGACAGAACGAGGCAATACCGCCCAAACCTTCGACACAAAATCTGGCGATTAAATCGCCAACATATGCTCAGGCAGTGCAGGCGCTTTTTCGGTGAGTATATATACGTTTATAGATATGAACGAATATGAGCTGTAGGCCGATTTTGAAATAATTTTATTGATCCTAGTGCCATAGAAACTATACATACTTGTATATCGGAAGCAAATTAAATGCTGAGAAGTTGGTTGATATAAAGACGATATGGCAAAGTTTCAGTTAGATCGGGCTAGCTATCATATACCTTCCATAGGATCTATCTAGCTTAAAGACAGTCATTGTAAGAGAAACTTTTTTGTTTTTGGAGATATTGAAAACAAATTGAATGTTTATTTAAAGAACGATGTGGCTAAGTTTCATTTAGATCGGACTAATACTTATATCATATACATAGCTGCCATAGGTATTACCTGGTATATAAGGAATTTATCTATAAATTATTCTTTTTTTATGAAACCATCTACATTAATTATCGAGTAAAGCATTTTTCTTTTTAACTAGCTTATTTATGTTAAACGTTTTTTCTTTTGTTCGCATCCAGCTTTAGGATGGAATTGGCGCGCAATTTGTTCCTAATGCCCTCGATGATAGCCACAGACCTGGCTCTAACCCAACTGGCACTGGCCAGGCCCAGTAACATGGACGAGTTGCGCGATTGCCAACTTGATGAATATTATAATTCCAAATACGAACGTTATGGTCCTGAATTGCTTAAATGTCTGAGGAGTCTGCAAGGAGCTGATAATGATGATAAGAACGATGTAGAATTGGAAGCGACATCCAAGAAACGGCAACGTTTGGATAGCGACGCTTCGAACGCGAGTTCCACTGACTCCAACGAAATCGGGGGACGTCCTGAACCGACGTGGAACTGCTCTGAGGAATGGGATTGGGAATGGATCGATGAATCATTGAAAGTTGAGCAGCAATTCAAAACAAAAGACTTGCGGCCAGAAACTTCAGATCTATGGGGGTCGGACGGGGAATCTGATAATGATGTGGCACAATTCGACAATATTAAACAGGAGCCCGTTAGTCCAAAGTGTTCACATAAATTGAATTTTAATCCCATCGATGTAGCAGTAACAGATGAGAACCTTACCTCGACGCCGATAAAGGAAGAAAGATCCGACAGTGCAGATCTTTGGGGCTCGGATACAGATGTTGAATTTGATTTTAAACAAATAGATGAAGCGGTCGCGCTCTCCCAAAACACATCACCTGACACTCCAAGCACCTCTCAATCAAATGCCAAAAACAAGCAGCCAAGTCCAAATACATCTACCGATGAGGGTGTAGAAGTCTCATCTAAGAATACCGATCACCAGCGTTTACGTCGGGCTAGCACAGATCTTTGGGTATCTGATGATGATTGGGATGTTGATTTCAATGAAATCGATAACGCCATTATGAAATCAACTTGTCCAGTGACCCAGTTAGACATGCTTCTGCATGATTTCAACCAGATAGTTAAGGAGGAAGGCAAAGCTACTTAGAGCTAATTAAAAAAGCTTGTCCCACCACATAGGACATTTATAAGCATTTTATTTGTATGCTTCTATTGCCAGTAAGTCCATAAGTCTTCCCATGTACAAGTATATATCCTATACTTGTATGCTAAATTAAGAAATTATCGTATTTTTAGGAAAACGTGATCAACTTTTTATTCTCCCACCACATGGTGACATTTACGTTGAATCGTATATTTTTGTAAGAAAATTGCAATGGAAAACATAATGTATTGAGTTGATCAATTGTATTTTTATAAATTTTATAAACTTTAAACATACATAAATATGTAGTTAGTTAATCCAGTGTGCAATTTATAAGCCTTTAAATTACGATTCCTTTCTTCAGTGGAATATAGAATAAGTTTTTATTCAGGCACCGAATGTGTTGAATGATTAAGGGCCATATATTTGCTATACATCTAATTCTGTTTTTATGTCTTTTTTTAGACGTTTTTTTTACAAGACTTCTAGAACCATACAAAATACATAAGGATTATAACATAGATTTAAGGAAATTAACTAATTATAATATCGTAGTTAATTAGTTATAATGTTAAGGGCTTTAAATATTGTGCATCTTAAATGTACATACATATATTACAAAGTTGAGCAAAAAAAAATTTGAATACTGAAGTTTCTGGCCCGACTTTTGTTTTATATATGTATGTCGCCATCGAATAAGTTATAGCAAAATGACATCTTCATTTTGAAACTGGATATTTCCCAGGATTACGATATTTCAATAGATTGCTTTGATGTTTGCCATGGAGTTTTTGGGATACAGTGCTAAAAATATAAATGGAGAGCATATGCCATATTGCCCGCCGAATTTGCAATACATTGACTTTCCGTAGTTCCCAAAACTGGTCCCTAGAGAAAGATTCTTGTGGCTATATCTGTTAACAAATGCCTATTTGAAAGCCCTATCGACCCCAAATGAGAGTCAAATGTTACAACAAATAAATTTTTGTAAAAACTTTGCAAAAAGACATTAGCACAACAAATTTGTTATTCATGTTATTTTGCTGGGGCTTATCGAATCCGTATTGTACCAAAAAAAAAAGTTGTGCAATTACGAGCTGATATTTGAGTAATAAGTACAGCTTCGTAAAGACTTATTCACCATTCCCGTATTTAAAAATAATTGCCAGAAAGAAGTTGCTAAACAGCTCAACAATTGGTATGTTAAATACCATTTTACCCCAATTGGGTGTCGAGTTAGGAAAAAATGAACTTTATTTAGTTCTATATACCATTCCCGTTCGAATTTTTGAAACAACTCAACAGTTGGTGGATTCATGTGCCGGCTCCCTGCTGACTCCCTCGCTTGGGCCCCTTAAAACCTGCAAAGGATCAGCCGAAGGAAAGCTGTGTTGGGCGCTCAGGTTGCGACGTCTGTAGAAAACCGTGCCAATAACCACACCAGCCAGCAGAATAGTCATCACTGTCAGGCCTATGCCTAGTCCGATGGATGTCGCCTGGCTCAGTTCTAAAGCAAAAGTAATTAACGAAATGTATAACGGAACATTTCAGAGGTCCTACCCGACTTCTCCAGCAGCATGCTAAATGTGGAATCTCCGCTTGAGGTCTCACTGAGCGCAAACTGACACCGCCAAGTACCAAAATCGCTGATCAGCAGTTTATTGATTTGTATACCACAGTCCCCCAATGGTAGGCCACGACCATTGTACTGCACCCGCCTGTAAGGAACAGCGATTGGATTCGTTAACCAAGTATTCTATCCTTATAAAGAAAATGTAATTGAGGAGAGTTTCCTTGAAACTTGAAACATGCGTCTGATATCTTGTACATAAGTATGTAGATCTGTTGATATATCGCCGACTTGCTGCGACTGAGCTGTAATGTGCCTTACCCAGCTGTCTGTATGCTCCGACTGGTGGCCACCAGGTGAACCGTGCCATTGGGTTCGATGAAGGCGCACCGATGGGCGGGCGCATCAAAGGCTGTGCGGCACATCAAGCGTGCCGATTCCCCTTGGCGAGCCTGCAACTGCTCAGTGACGACTTCACCTAATTTCGATTTGATCATCACCTCGATGTGCTGGAGTACCTCCTTCTCGTAGCTGGCGCCACGTGCACCGCACGTCCAAGTACCGGCAATCGGTGGTAGCTGTCGAAATAGGCAGAGTCCATGGGTGCCGCCTCGTCGCATGTCCCAGGAAGATGGGAAATAAAGGCTATTGTTTGGTGAACGTAAGAAGCAGTCATGCACCACAAAGGGCACTTCACACTCGATGCTCTCTATGGTGGTCTTATCCGCGTAAAGTTGTAATTGCTGAGGTAGTTCCCCAAGCAATTTCTGTATTTCAGCCTCAATTATCTGCTTTCTGGGCAGGCCCACATAGTAGAGGCAGCCACTTGGCGGTACTGTGTTATAATTCAGTATGCGCCAAAGTCCTTGCTCTTCTTCCTGCAACGGCAACGATAGCTCCAATTCGCAAAGAGCGTTCGAGACCCTGAAACAAAATGAAAAATAGAGTTGAGGTGAGCAGTGCAGGAGAGAGAGCATTACAAAGATCACAAATTTCGGGCTTCCTAGATATTCCTCTTCCGATCAATGCTGGGTTCTTTTTGCAAAAAACTGCACTTTTTATTTTTCAATATTATTATAAAGTTAAAAGCATGATTTTTGCAAGCCTACATTTAAGATCCATAATCCACACAACAAACAATTTCCCATTACAGATTGTGATCACATTTCTTTCCACTTTACTGTTTGCAGAAAACTATTGGTTGCTACATTTAGAGCGAATTCTGGAATGAGGAGTTGAAGAGGTTCAATCGAAAAAGAAACCAATTTTATATCTTCTTATGGATTGGTTCCTACATTTAGAGAGCATCTTAAAGTGCCTGGAATGAAGAGTTTTAGAAGCTGATTTGTATTTGTTTACATATACTCTATACAAATTTCCGGGACTGAGTTATATGCGCCCATAACAGAAGCAAAAAGAAGAAGAAGAGGATGGTGAACTTTTTTCGCTAATAAGTTTTCTTAGAATTAACCGATTCGGATGAAATTTAAAACAAAACTATAGAATTGTAAATAGATTATGTGTCCAAAGTTTGGTTAATGTAGCTTTTGAAATGTGGATAGTATTGACAAAATTCTGTAGCGGGGGAAGGGGGGAAAAATTCCAAAAAATAAAATAAACTCGTCTTATCTCAGACCTAGGAGAATCTGGATACCAACTTTGGTTATTCCAGCTTTTATAGTTTCTGAGATCCTTGCGTTCATCCAGACAGACAGACGGACGGACATGTCTAGATCGATTTCTCTCGTCATGCTGATCAAGAATATATATACTTTATAGGGTCGGAGATGCTTCGTTCTGTCTGTTACCTACTTTGTACAAACCTAATATACCCTTTTTACCCTAGGGGTACAGGGTATAACAAGCGTTCAAATCTAAACTCCACAAGAGCTAAGAATGGTTTTAATACACTTATATTTTTATTTCCAGCTCCATGTTTAGGATAAAGGTGAAAACATTTCGCACTTATGTAGATATTCGCAATTTATCTTACAAATTCTAGGTGGAACTTACTGCGTCTCAGCTGTTGCGTAGCGCTCCCTATAGAGACCATCCATGAGGAGCAGTTGGGTTACCCGATCCGGCAGGGTTGCCGTGCACGAGTAGGTTGTGTCCGCCAGCTGGCAGCCGAGCACCAAATGCGTGTCGCTTTCTCGCTGCGTGGCATTGGAATTAGCAACGATACTCTCATCGGGCACCAGTTGGACGACAATGCGCTCAGTGGCGGCGACCATGCGTCCCCAGTCATAGGTGCGGCACTCGAATGTGCGATTCTCACGCATCAGGGTTGTCAGCGTACAGCTATTGGGCCAGTGGGCGCCCGTCGAGGGCTCAACAATGTGACAATGCTTGGTTTGGCTCTCCTTGGTGTTGCAGGTGATGGTACCTTGACCCAAGGTGCCCTGCACCCGCGTCTGTGCCGGCGGTATACGAATCGGCAATATCGTTATTTCGACCGCATCCTCTTCTGTATCGCCATGGACATTGGTGGCGGTAAGTTGCCATTTTCCCGCTGTTATTACGTTTACTGTGCTGACACGCAATCCGCAGATATCCGAGGCATAAGGCAGCACATTTTCACCTCGTGACGTCACAAGCGGTGTGCTAGCATTGAGATCGAGGGGAGTGGGATCGGCGTCGCTCTGGTAGTGAAAGACGCAGCTGTGTACCGCACCAAAATTCTTTGCCAGCTCCAGATAGGCTATAAAACCCTCACCCTGCATCACTGTCAGCTTCGCAGCCGGGCGAATGGCGCCGTTAAGGGACTTGGACTGACGCAAGGCTAGCACCAGTTGGAATATGTTGGGGAGCAGTAGCAGCAGGTGGTAGCTTCGAGACCAGTTTCCCCCACAACATCGAAACGCTTGCATTGTTCAGATCACACTGTCCGCTGTGCAGCGACATTGTGACTTCGACGCGGGCTGGTCGGAGCCCGATTATCACCCTAATCATCTAATCACACAAAAGCGCACTGAGAAATAGTCAAGTGCCCATAAAACACGATGTCCAACAAGGTGGGCGCTTGAATTACTTTCAGTTCACATCGCAACGTCGCGACTTTGACGTGCGATAGGAAAACATAATGCCAAACGCTAATAGATACGATAAATTGACTTTAGTCATTCGACGACAACGTCGCCGTCGTTGTCGTTGTCGACGCCGACGTCAGTCAACGTGAGCGACAAGAGTCGGCAATAGGTCAGGTTTTGGGGATTCGCTTTGATCGTCTGGAACAACAACATTTTCCAACTAAAGCTAGTTTCCTCAGTTTCTGCGAGGATTTACAAATTGGTAAACCTGAAGAACGCCTAAAATTATTCAATTACCAAGCCCTCAATGGGATGTTACAGACACTAAAGTCAGTTCATAATTATTTTCAACTGCAGGGTGAAAAATATATTTATGATAAGCTGAACAAAAAAATGGTATAAACACTGCCAGATACTGAAGACTATTTAATCTAAACAAAAATTGTGCTCTTATCTAGTGAGAATAAATACATGAATTAACAATGGAACAAAGAAATTGGATTAAAAAGTTGTTAAGTAGCTATTCTTTTTTCAGTTTATTTCGTATCTAAGATCTGATTTAAGAGAGTCAAGATAATGAAGATGTCGGCGTTATTATTTATTAGATTTTTTTTTGGGCCTAGTCCATTATTTTTATGGAGCTTATTTAAGCAGCACTTTGAAATAAAGGTGCATATTTGTATATCAAAACCAGTTGTTAGGAATACCTCGATCAATCGTCTTGGGCTATTTAAAATAATAAATATAGGAAGTACTAAATATTTATTCTTATTATGTTTCAATCAGCTACTCAATTCTTTTCAGTTTCAAAATTCTATATTTCCTTGGATTTTCCCTCATTTTAAATCGTTGTCATCGACGTGTAACCGTTTTTATCTGCATTTAATCGACTATCGACAGCAAAAACTCACTATCGATACTCGTTTACAACTCAGCTGATGGAGCTGGCGTTGCCAGAGTGCTCAGCTGAGACTCCAAAGTTCGTTCATTTGTTTACATCACGTACAATTCGAAATTCGTTCAGTAGTTACCAAAACTAAATTCGTCTTGTTTCCGAGCATAAAAAGTTAAATTGTCATTTTTATAGCCACACACTTACCGATATGTCTTTGTCCAATTCTCGCTTGCTTGTGAGGCAGATGTCACTCCAGGTGCTTCGAATGCTCGGCCGCAATGGCTGTAACTATTATAGCAGTGTCACAACAGCTACCAAAGCTGCTCAGGCCCTCACTACTACAGATTTTCCGATGTTGATATCCCCGGAGTACCGGGACCGCTGCATGGAAAATATGCGTAAGCTCCCCCCATTTGTTCGACCCAGGAAGCAGCCGCAATCCAAACGCGAAAAGTCCTCTGCGTCGGTCTTGATTGCTCTGTGCGTAGAGCGCGACAGGTAACAAGTAAATAACGATATTGGTGATAGGACTATCTAATGCCTATTCCAGCAATGACATTTCACTGCTCTACACTCGGCGTTCGCGTCTGCTGCGTCGCCACAGTCTACAGATCTCATTTCCTGGCGGCATCCGCGACGACACCGATGCCAGCTATATAGACTGTGCCCTGCGAGAGACAGAGGAGGAGATTGGATTGCCTCGGGATCGCATTGAAGTATGGGGCGAGGGCAACGTAATGCACTTTCCCCGTGGTGCTGCCATTATGCCTGTTGTGGGTGTCGTCCCGAACTTTCACATATCGGAGCTGAAGCTAAACTGGGAGGAAGTAGAGGAGGCACTCAGTGTGCCACTCAACTCACTGTTGACTCCCACGGCAACACGTCACACACAATTCCGAGGAGGCTATAGTGGACCCGCCTTTGTCGTGGATCAGACTCGCATCTGGGGTATCACAGCCTATCTCACTTATGTTTTCTTGCGGTGTCTGCTTCCCGAGCATGTACTACCACATGCCTTGAAGACCAACATTAAGTTCATACGCCCCTATAAGCTGCCACCAAAGACCATCCACCATCATCATGTGGATATAGATGCAGACGACCAGCTGGCAAAAAAGTTTGACGAAGACCAACGGCAGCAGCAAACGAAATAACAGCACATAGTGTTATGGAACAGTCTAGCTTTCCATTATACAACAGACGACATATAGAAGCTTTAAATACCTAACTTTATCCACAAAGGACCTCAGGGGAAGCAGATGGCTTAGCCTATAGCTGCCGACAAAATTTTTCAGTCTATATGTAGGTTTTCTTATCAATTGTTTTTATCCACTAAAGTGAACTCAAGGAGTTAGCATTGAATTTGTTCAATTTGTTGTTTTGTAAAAATATTGTTGGGACTCGTACACGAATGTACACTGTAAAATAGTAATAAAATCGTACAAAGATTCAAACAATACTTCTCCATATGTACATATATTTATTTACCTTTTAAACTACAAATGTAATCGAGATGTAGATGAATTAAAATAGTCCAATTGTATGTACGTTAAATTCTGCGCCTCGGGATTGGTATTGTATAGGAGACTTCGTAAATCATGAGCCTAAGGTGAGTATACAAATAATCGTGATAAGAAAAGTGCAGATTCTTCAGAATTTCTACCGATATTTCCTGGTTGATCGATAAAACAAAGTAAAACGAGCTGTGTAATTATGTAATTTTTTCAAAATCAGATACAACCACCTAGACCATATTTTCGAAAAATCAAGCACTCCTGTAATTTATTTAGAACTATCAGGTGAGTCATTGGATCACTGGATTAAGTATTTTTGTTTCAAAAAAACATTGTTTGTTTTGTATTAATTTATACAAAACCATTTTTGAACTTGATGGGTTATAATAATCAAATTGCTTTCCCAAAATTTGGAGGCCTATTTGGCTCCGTTGTTGCCTTCAATAAAATGCCCTCTTGTTTCTTTTTTTAAATCTTTTTTATTTGTAATCTTTCACTTAATACAAAAAATACTCTTCTCTCATCTTCGCATTTTAGTTATCATAAAATAGTTTAATAAAAAATACAAGCCAACAAAATGGCAACGCGCGCCAGGGAGCCAAAGCAAAAATAGTAATAATACAAATTAATTAATCGAAAAAAAAAGGTCTTCTACACAAAAAGCTCCTTGCAAATTACAAAAGATAGTCGTCGCTCGGCAAGCGAGTCGTCCAGCTATCATGGTACAGAATAAAATAAAGCTACATAATCGTTTATGTAGATATGCTTGCATGTTTCTATGTATATCAAATACACATATATTAATTACATCATAATTATTTAAAAAAAAGAACAAAATACACGGAGGCGGGCAATTAAGTCAAAGGTGTTCTTTTTGCCTGTCTTGTTTGATGTTGTTGTTGTCATTTAAATAAAATACAATTACGCGTAGTTAAGGGGAAGGCAACGTGGCTGTTTAAAAAACGATTGTTATATATAAAGTTATTTTTATATATGTAGGTATATATGTATATGTTTATGTATACGTATGTATTTATATTATAGTTGATAGTTGTTGTTGTAGTTGTTGCTCTTGTAAAGTTGTCCAAAAATCCATGGGCAGCATGGCGCACGTGGCTTCAAAACTCTACTCCGAAATATCAATTGGAATGGATGTCGTAAAAGTGGGTGTCTCCAGCTCCTCGTGCTTCTTCATTTTGAGACTCTGTGCGGGAGAAAGTAGATGTAAAATATATAGTATATAATTATTATTATCGTTGAAAGGCCCTCATGTGAAATGCTTTTCTACAGTTCGATATTTCACAGTGGTCTGGAGGTATTTGGTTAAATGGACAAACCTGTTGCAGTTTATAGTGATTGATAATGTCCTGATCGGCCGGGCACGATTGTGTGAAGGCGTCCAATTGGTACATGTGATACATATAACGCCACAGCGCCGTCAAGTGCGTCTAAAAACGGCAGAAAGAATTAAGAAATGATTGCTCTCTCTCCCGCTCGATATCGATCACCTACCGGTATTTCAAAGTCCACGAAATACTTTCCTGCGACGCGAATGTGTTGAAGCCGTGGCATCAGCTCACAGTCGAAGCAGCACATGGTGTCTCCGGTCAGGAAGCGTGTGTTCCGATTAGCCAAATGATCGTTGATCTTCTTGAGATGCGAGAGGAGCGCATTGTTCTTGGCATCGTCCTTCTTCACCAGCATCAGCTTCAACTTAACATACAGATTCTCAATAAGTGTGGCCACTTCCTTGTCCTGCACAAACAGATTATAGCCGCCGGGTATGTTCTTCATAATGTGACGCTCGATCTTCTCGTTTTCCAGTATGGCCAGCCCATTATCAATCAATATGGGCGGATGTGTGGCCTCGAAATTTGTGCGGAAGTCTGGCGGTGGCTTCTGCATATCCACTGTCGTCACCTTCAGGCTGATCGTCTTCAGTTCAGCCAACAGATACAGATCCATAAAGTATTCCTGACAGAACAGGCAGGCGCCCTTGCGACGTCCATCGATGGTAGAGGCCTGCGATACGATTTCAAAAATATTTTTATTAATTACATAATTTGTTTGGGGTTTGAACAAAGTTAAATATCTAGCATGCAATTGGATACTTATTTACGAAGAGAAAACGAGGAGACAAGGTGTGCTGCAAAGTAGACAGCCCTCTTTATTAATAAGAACACATACATATATGATATCCTGAATTTAATTTAATTCAAAATATTCACCTATCGATTCAATAAATCGTTTTGCACGACCAAGAAACCCTTCGAACGAGTGTCGGTCTTTTGTATGGCTTCTATGTCCGTAAAGGACCGTATCATTTCTAACACCTAGTATCAATTGCATTCATTCTCTCCCCGGCTTAGACGTGGGTCTAACAAAGCCCTGTGATCACTCTTTCATATCCATATGTACAAGTATTTGGGAAAGATTTCTGCGAGAACGCCTTTATGGTAATTTATTTGTAAAAGGGAACTCAACTGCATGCAATATTAATTTTCAAAATTTGTACTCATGTCAGAAACGACAAGAATGGAGACCCACGAGTTGACACTCTCACTAGAGGGTCAATGAGCGTTAAATAGGGGCCGAATGCTATAGTATATACTATTACATAATGACATGGCGTGGGTAAAAATGAAATCGAGGGATGGTTCGCGTGCCATCAATTAGAGCGCAGGCGGCTGACGGACGAGGCGGCAACAAATAAATCAAATATAGTTTAACAAAATAAAACAACATAAATAAGTAATTTCAATCATGTGACATCATCATCATGATTGTATTCAACGCCGCCAATGAATGAACGTCGCGTGACTAAGTGTTGGCAAACGTCGCACACCTACACGTACATATAGACACATACATATGTACATACATACATACATGCATATGCATGCAGTGGCAAACAGACGCCCCCAACTTGGCAGAGCACGTGTGTAGTTGTCGCCGTAAAACAGAAGGCGCAGCAGCGGCAACATCATCATCATGATCTCTATTAACTGCATTGCCTGTTCCGTTGAGATCGATGATGATGACGCCGATGTCGTTGCCATTACCATTGCCGATGATGTATGATGATGTCATCTTTAGCTTGAGTTTACTTGTTGATTGCCGCCGTCAATGTTCGAGAGCGTGCTTCAACTCCAATGGCCCGACAACGGCTGCTTCGTGTGCGTGTGTGTGTGTGTGTGTACTTGTTTGCTTCAACGTGAGTGCACGCACACACACATATAGTACAGATGTATGTATGTATGTGCGTAGTTGAGATAAGCATGGACTGTATATAGTAAATGGCTTACTTTTGCCGAGTCGATAGTGATAAAAATAAACTGCCAAGTCGTTATGCAGCGTAAACCAAGAGTAACAGAAGAAACAACAAAATGTTAACGTGCACGAAGAGTTGCGAAAGTTGCCACCTGATTGAGATAAGAAGTGCAATTGGTATGCTTGCCCCACATAGCAGCCAGCTTTTTGTCGGCGGGTACGCGAATTGCCCAGTCAAGTGCTAATATAAATAACATTTCAATGAAAGCGATCAAATTTATAATTACATAACACTAATGAGCGCCTATAAAGTACGTAATTAATGCCAATCAGCTGTTCAACTATTTACGCACTAATTGCAACGCTTTAATATTGTTTAATGCTCCAAATAGAAGAAGCAATTAACGTGCGTGTGACCGTTTAACTATACACACGCATATGTACATACATATGTACATACATATGTATGTATATTTACACATGTACGCACATACGAATGTATGTCTGTGGTTGTGTGCTAATGGCTTAATAACCGCACATAACAATAAAAAAAAATAATTATAAATTGGAAAAAGGTGACGCTCAGCTGCTGAGAAACATACATAAGTACATACTAACGCACATACAAATGTAATTACATACATATATACATAGCTATGTATGTATGTATGTACGAACATAAAGGGGCGGCAGTTAACTCTTGCCCGAACGGTTTATCAGTTCCATAAAAAACATACATACATACACATTAATGAATGTATCTGGCCATTTCTTCTTGACTGTACATGTGGGTGCGAATAAAATTAAAAAAAAAAAACAGATCGTCTTTCTAGATTATACTATATTATATTTACAGTTTTTGGTTTTACGAAAAGCAAAAGTTTACAACTGTAAGGTTCTCGAAAATATTGTTTAATATGGACGCAGCTTAAACTGCTTTTAATGAAAGGTACAAGTACAACTTAGCTAACATTAATATGCAGCCCTAAAATTAAACAAACCAATTTATGGAAATACATACAAGTACATACATATATTAAACAGTGAACTCTATTAAGACATTAGTTAGATGATCTCATCATCAACTCACTTAAATTCCTAGGAAAATATAATATAAGAAGTGCCAAGAAACTCCCAATACGTAATGGTTGTACGATTCAATTAACCCGAAAGATAATAAAAAATGTGTTCAAAAAACCAAACCACATACTAATTACATAAAAAAATGCACAAATTTCAAAATAAATTAAAGAGAATAAAACTAATAAAATGTATATTTGAAAAAAAACACGGCTCAGAAATTGAAACAGCAAATTATAAATGAACCTATTTTACATTTTCATAAAGAAAAGGTAGCTTTTTTAATGTTGAAATTACACACGAATTTCATTAGGAATGTAGATTGCTGCCTTGGGGCCTCACAGTCACTTCACACTCAAAACCTTACTTGATCCTATCCTAGAGCTCTGAGCAAGTGGTTGTCTGTATGACCGACGGCAAATAATAACACACACAACAATATCTCTATAGTATTATTTACCGTTTGCCCAGACATAAATACACACATACAAACGTACATAAGTCAACAATTCATACACAGACTGCTGAGCTTTCTGAGCACAGAGAGCATGTCTTGGCCATAAATTCCCAAATGACCTGATTACTTGCTATTTTGCTAGTTACCCGTTTTTTTTTTTGTCTTTTCTGCGCTTTATGCTTTGTTTACATTACGGTTTATGCGTGTGTGCGTACGGCTCAAAAAGCAATTACGTTGTCAATATTGCAAAGTAAATTGCAATGCAATAAGCACACATGCATACCTATATGTACATATGTATGTATGAAATACACTTGCATATGTACGATCATAAAAGGCATGTGCGCAGCGTCAAAGGTCAGAGTGGCCGGTCGGTCGGCTTTGCGAACGATGCCAGGGTTGCCAACAAGCACTTGCTGCCGTTTTCCAAAATAGACATGATGCTGACACGTTGCCAGCAATCATTAAATGTCAAGTGGCATCTGCCGTTGAATGCATTCAAGCGTGTGTGACTCTGGTCACACTTGCAAAGTATAACCCATTTGAAAATAATACTAGCAAATGTGGCCGTCTTGAATTACTTGTCAAAACTAAAACGATTGTAATTCAGACTTGTTTTGAATTCGCAACGAGGTTCTAATCGTCTTCGTACCAAAATTGATTTCGAATCGTTTTTAGATCGATTATCGAATTATTTTAGAAACCAAGATAAGGAAGAATGAAGAAGAAATTCTACAAGATAACTAGAAGTGTGTGCTTGGTAGGGAAATCCTGTATATCTTTTTATTTACTTTAAACTTTTATATTTCCAATATAACTTTCAGCTCAAACTCATATTTTTAAAATGTTTGACACATTTCTTACGTGTGTGGCCAAAGCTTTTTTTTCACTCACACACAACACACAGAACCGAAAAATTAACCAGAAACCGAATCCATTTTGCCAAAATCAACAAAATATCTGCCACCTACATACAAATTTGTGATTTGTGTATGAATCGCAAAATGTTAAATTTAAATACGCTTTAGCTTGAACAAATTGTTGATGCAAGAGCAACGGAACCAGCAACAACAACGGACAGCTGGCATATAAATTTTAATGGAAAAATAATAGAGCGAGATAACAACAATTGGTTGTTGTTTCTGTTGGTGCTGGCCAAGAGTGCAAAACATCTTCGATTTGATTATGACGCCACCAATTATTTTTCTTTCGTTCTCTGCCTTTTAATTGAGAATTTGTAGCCTCGATCGAAGCGCAAAGCTACACACAACAAAAATAAATACCTTAAGATAAGATAATAAGTGCCCGCAACACACAAAAGCAAACAATTAAGGAAGGCAGGGGAGGCGAGGCAATAAATAAGGTTTAAACAATTTGTGAAAAAAATAGAAGAAATTAAATAATTTTGAATCTGCTGATGAGTGTGGGGGAGGGAGAATGGGTTGGGGGTGTTGCACACACATACATACATACACATAAACACACGCTTACAAACATATATAGTATGTAAGTAAATAATTTAAAAAGACACGTTTGCTGGCTGTCAACCTAAAGTTCTATGCTTTCTTTAGGCCAAAGCGAGCAGCGACCAGAGGGTTCTCATCATACCTTACCTCTAGATACAGCAGCAGCCACTTGAATAGGTCTCTTTTAGGGTTCTGTCGTGCGCCCACGTATAATGTCTATAAAATCTTCACACATGATTGACCTGCATTTCATTACTTATCTCGTAAAACTAAATTTTATTTTAGAAATAATCTTTTGAAATGCTGAAATATTGCCATTACATATACTATTAATCCATTTCTAATCACAATGGTGGAATAAACTGAAAAGGAATGATAACGAAAATAACAGGAAACGTGTTGAAACGTGTAGAAATAAAAACCAATCTCTTTTTTCTTACAATTCAAACTGTTGTCTCACGTCTTTTTTACACTTCCGACAGATAAGTGTCAAGCATTTGGGTCAAGATAATGTTTAACGACAAATGTTAAGAGTCTGCTAAAGTCATCATCAGATGGGAAGTGCTTTCAGATGGAAGCAATGCAATAAGGCAAATAAACATCCACCTCTGTGTTACATGCGCGCGAATAACTTTTCTTAGATAATTAAATCCTTATTGTGTACTCAAAGTTTAGTTAATGTAGCTTTGGAATCGTGTACAGTATTGACAAAATTCTGTAGCGGGGGTACTCCTACCCCCGGAAGGAAG